CTGGTAGGATTGTTGCTGTAAAGATTCTGAGAGGTGAGGGTAGTAGTCATAGTGCATTCAATATCAAACCCCCCAACATGTCCTAAACACCCTCATTCCATAAATTACTACTCCAAAAAAGTCCTACACACCCCACATTCCATCAACCCCCACCCAAAAAAGGACCTATACACCCTACATTTCATCATTTGAAAAACAGACCACAATTTCTACTCAAATTTTAAACCTTAAAAATGGCAAATAAAATACTTGATCCAATCTTTAAAATATACGATCCGATTCGTTATTCATTTAACAAGAAAAAAGAGGATTATATTATCATCTCACCGACTGTTCTTAATCCCAGTTGAATGATGGTGGTAGAATTACCTTCGAAATAAATTCATTATCAAATTGGTTACTTCTTTCCGATGCTTATTTCAGATGCGATTTCAAATAAAAGATGGAACTCCCAATGAAAATCGTGTACCTCAAACTAATACAACGGTAGAAAACAATTTCTTTATTTAGCGAGATGGTTTTGGAAGCTGGTTCAAATCCGATAGAAACAATTAAACACCCCGGGGAATTTGATACAATGTTGAAAAAGAACCGGTAAGAAATGTTCCAAATGATGCAGATTTAGCTAGAGTGAGAGTTGTTGCTCGAAACACAATAGAAAGAGTAGCACGAGCAGCTAATCATGGATTCGAAAACGAGTACTTCAGTATAATAATGTTGTTGAGAATAATAATAGGTGGGGTAATTACGTAAATCGGAAATTATATCCTTTATTCGGTCTGTTGGAACAGAGAAAAGTTTTTATAGGGTTACCATATAAAATTCATCTACAAAGAGAAATTAATGATGATAAGATATTCTTTGGAAAGAATGCTTCCAATGCAAAATTAGAAATAACGAATCTCCAAATTTACATACTCGTAATTACACCATCAATTGAAGTAGAAACGAGAATTTTCAACATGTTGACTAAAGATATTGAAATAGATTTTCTTCGTCGCAACACGGTAGGTAGCATGACTTTAACTGGAGAATCCACTATTTGGCCAATCACCAATAGTATTAAACCAGCAAGATATTTAATGGTTGGTTTCAAGAATTTACCAGACTTACAGACGAATAACAATAATATCTTTAGAGTAGCAATGAACCAAACTCAAGATACTATAATCCATAAAGTTCAAGTAAGATTAAACAACCTTTAACAATTAATCCATCCACGAAGGATTATAATGAATTGTATAGAAACTATAAAAACATGTGTGAATGATTTGGAAATCCACCTCAGTTTGAATATTTAGATTTTGCCCTTAATCATCCAATCTTCTGTTTTGATCTATCCGCTCACCAAGAAGATCTTTTCAAAACAGGAGTAAATATAAATATTCAAATTGAAAAAACACAAGGAGATGTGACCGGTTATTGTTTATTATTGGAAGAAGCAAAATATTTAATTAAAATAGCAGATAGAAGAATGATAAGAATTGAGTAAACAATACAACCTTAAAAATGAAACCAGAAACTTTAGTCAAGAAAATAATAGATGCTATTGAAACAGCTTCCCCAACTGTAAAAACTTACAATGGTAAAAAAATCAACATAACTAAAAAAACTTATTGATATATATAAATATTGTAAAGTCAGAGACGATATAGACTTAGAAAGAATTGACGCGAATGCAAAAGAAGGCGGATTTTTACCTTTCCTTCCTTTGATATTTGCTGGTATTTCAGCGGCTGCTGGGGTTGGTGGTACGGATGCTAGGATAACCATAGCTGTCAACGCAAAGAAAGCAGATGATGATAGAAACGCTGAACAACGTAGACATAATTTAGTAATGAAAAAAAAGAAAGGTTCAGGAGTGGCAGATATATTAGGTACAGTTAAAGAATTTGGAAAACGATTCATGGAACAAAAATAAAGAATAAAAAATGGGAAAGAAATTCAAACATTCAGAAATATTTCCTAGTAACCCAATGCTTTTGTGTATTTGTGGAAGTTCCGGTTCTGGGAAAACTCATCTCACTTTTAACATGTTGACAACACCAAAACTTTTAGATTTCGGTTCATTATATATCTACACAACAACACCAGAGCAATCATATTATCAATTCCTCAAAGCTTTAGAATATTTACCAATGAAAGATGTTCAAGACATATTTCAATATTATGAAGGAAACGAAGAAGAAGAAGTTGAAATAAAAGATATCATAGATAACTACATTAAAGCAAAGAATCCATCTTTCTATCCAACAGACATTAAAGTTTTTCTGAAGAAAAATGTTAATGATCTAGACTTGTCTAATATTGATAGCAATCGAAAGAATTTGATATTGTTTGACGACAATCAAGCTGTTCAACAAGAATTCTTCACGAAAGGAAGACATCACAACTATCACTGCATATACCAATCCCAACCTTTTTATGGGATGGATTCTATGTTTATTAGAAAAAATGCAAATTGTTTTTTATCATTCGAATTAAACGATAAAGATTTATCTCAAATCATTCAGTCGATAAATCACGGAATGGATAGAGATACATTTAAAACGGTTTGTAAAACACAATGGAGAAACCCAGATGATCATGGATATGTATTTGTTAATACTATAAAACCTGCGGGTGAAAGAGTTATGATCGGCATATGTTAATGTTATTTTTTAAAAAATGAGTAGCGATTGGAATAATATTTTAAAAAGAAAAACAGAATTTATATCAAAGCTAAGAATAAAATAAAGACCCAAGTTGAAAATAATAAATTACAACAACTTGGATTAACAGAAAATCTACAAACTCTATTTCAACCAATATTAAAAAGAGGATATTGAAAAGAAATTAGCTTTAGAATATAGACCCACCCCTCGTATAGAACCTCATAAAGATAACCCAGAACCAAATCAATATGGTGGTATTATAATTAGGACATTAGATGATATTAATAGTCTTTTTTCAAACCCTAAAGCAGATTTACCAAAGAGTATTACACCAATCATTGATGATGAGGGGTTATTGTTTAATGGATTTAGAATAAAATTTAGGGCAAATTCCCCTATATTCAAAATCGATACAAAAGACTTAATATTTACATTAACAAAAGGATTAATAGATTTAATGAATGGTGGGTATATTGGCATTGCCGATTACAAGGATTTAGTAGCATACTCAAAATTTCTTCATGCAATTAGAAAGTCAGGACCCGAAACAAGAAGATCGAAAGCAGTTGATGTATATATAAAAAAAGTTATTCCTGATGAATATGAAGTTGATGAAGCAGATGATGAATATGAAGATGAGAAAACAGATGATTATGCTGAAGACAATTCAATTACACAAGAAATAGACGAATTCGAAGATATGGTGTCTGGACAAGGTATAACGATTTTACCCGACAACGACGAGGAACTACTTAATAGATTACAAATGATATTAGCGGCAATTAAGGAAGGACATCGATCACACACACAATATAATGAAGTAAATTGAATATTAAAAAGACTCTTAGAGAAAGGTATCATAGATAAAAGTGATTATAAAAGCGTCATTAAAATGTCAAATAAAGAACAGCTATTCGTTATCACCTCAAATAAATCAGACATTAAATTGTCTCTAGATTATGAGTATGAACTCGATCGCAATCAAAAATATGAATTGGGATTAAAGTATTTCTCTGTTTACAATTCCATTAGAAATATCGACGAAAAAAATAACCAAATAAAAATATCAACAGATAATGGAGTTACATTCAATACCATAAGTTTACTACCAGGAAGCTACGAATACGTAGCCATTAACGATTACCTTTCTGAATATGGAGGAAGTGCAAATGGTAAAAACAATATTGAATTCGAAGTTATTGCCAGTTATTTATTTATTTATCTATTTTGTCTTTTCCATTTTTTCTGTAAATCTTCATTGGTGAATGAATTAGTTTAAGGTAGAGACAGAATGCGTTTAGCTGATAGTAGTGGACATTGTGTTTGTTTGTTTACGTTTTTAAGCATGATCCAGTTATCAAATCCGCTACCGTTATGAGAAATTAATGTTAATTTTTTTTTGATCATATTGACCTAAATATTTTAATCAATCTGTACCTACAAATATTTCTACTATATTCATTAATTTATTGTAAAATTCTTCTGGAATGGGATCTGTCGGCTTTAAATCTGGAAAGAGATTATTTATTCTGTCTAACATTTTTCTTAGTTTTTCTAAATTAATTAACGTGCAAGAATAAGGAATAGCTTTACGTGTTTTACTTTCTGAATATGTTTCACAATCCCAAGCGAATAGAGTAGCATCACTCATATTTGAAAATACATTTAGTTTTAAAGGTGAAACTTGTGTTACGACATTATCATCTCTACATGTTTTCCATACCTGTTCATAATTATCTTCTATTTCTTTAATACCTAAACTTTTTTCATTTCTTCTTATGAGTCAGAAATGTGAGTTATGTAAATATAAAACCCAATCTAATTCCTTGTTTACATCTATAGGGCGTAAATTTCTATTATTGAGAGTATAAATTTGAAATGAAGTATTACATTTCTTATTGAATTCATTAATTCTAGCAGTTGTCATTACTCCTTTTCTATTAGCTTTTGGAAAATCATAAATGAATTTTTGAAATTCATTTGTTAAATCTTTGTTCAAAACATATAACAAAAACACAAGACAATATTATGGAATATAACACACTTCTTTAATAAGGTTGGGCAATTCCTGTTGAAACGTATCTTCATTTTCATCTGGAATGTTATCTATTAATTGTTGAATGTTTAATTTTTGTTTTGCAATCTTATCATCTAATTTAGATATTAATGAAATTAAATTTTGTAACTCATTTTTGTTCACTACGTTGACCAATTGCTTTTGAATAAAACTTATTAAACCTGCTACCTCTGGCTGTAGTTTAGTATCATTAATAAAACATTTTAATATTTAGTTGGCGTTTGAAGAATCTTTTCACATTACTTATCTTATCTTCTAAATGTTTTTTATTTACTTCAATTGAATTTATTTGATACCGTAAATATTTCTTGTGAACAGCGTCATTATCAGGAGACTTTAACTTAGTTACTTTGAAATTGTTCATATCTAAATCACCTTGAAGAGTGTCTTCGATTTGATCCACAAAGTAAGGTTTCGCTTTATTTATCCACCCTGTAGTGTTAGGTTTTTTAGTTTCTAAAGATAACGAACCAAACTTGTTCGCCATTTTTATTAAGTTAAATTTATCATAATTTCTTCAAACTGTTTTCCTAAACTCAACTGATATAAACCCCAAAGTGAAAGCTGTCCACAAAACTTTTGTCTCGGTAATTGAAATTGAAATGTTGAACATTAGTCAATTGAAAATTATCTCTTCAGTGGGTTCTAATCCAAAAGAATCAAAAAAATATAAGTCATTTGAAGAGTCTTTGTACAAAGCAGAATGATGAACTCCTTTTTGATCGGAAGTATGTATATTTGTTATATATTTAATTAAATATTAAATTTACCTTTCTTATATTTGAGATCATTTATTTCATCTCTCATACAATAATAAAACGGTGATATATTTAACTAATTCGCCCATCTCATAAGTTGAAAATTTGTGGTTGTATCAGTTCCATATTTATCGAGAAAGATATTCATTTTTAAAAGTCAGTTTTTTGAAGTTCGTTTTGATAAAACCTACCTATGATTTGTTCTTTGTCTTGATCGATTAATTCATATGTTGGAGGTGAAGTGGTGTTTACTTTATCAACGATGAATATTTTGTTTGTTCAGTATCCAAAGTAACCTTTTTCGAATTTACTTTTATATTTGAAAATACGAACGCGATCTCCAACTTTAAATTTGGGTTTGATATTTAAATTACTTATTTCATTTTCATAGTTATGTTGTGCGGTAATTGACTTTATAATATTTGGATTATTTGTGGCTTGTGTTGGTGTGACACCTATAGATGAATGAATTTTGTTATTATATTCATTTACAACCTCTGGTAATATTTCAAACCATTTTTGAGATTTCAATTCCGTGAACTTTTTGAATATTTTATTTTTTAGAGTTGTGTTATATCTCTCAATAACTACAGCTTTACCTTCATTATGCGTGTGTAAATTTCAAATCCCAGAGATTTCATATTTTTGTTATAAAATTCACTTACTTTATCTACCCACAGTTTTTATGGATGACGGCCAGATTGTTTCATAATCGTTTCAAAAGCATGTTTGACTGATTATCCTGTTTTGTTTTTCAAAGGAATTACCCAAAAATATCTCGTAAATATCTATATCCTCTTTCGACTGGCATATTAATTAAATCGGCTGACAATATTTCATCCTTTTCAAATACTTTAACTTTTAAAAAGTTTTTAGTTTTTCTAAATTCTTTATGAATTTCATCTGCCAATCACATGCCCAATTTCATCTTTGCTTTTAACAGTTTTATGATCAGGGCCCTTTGCATTCTCTCTTTGAAAGTTGGATTTGGAATATTTTCAAGTTCGATTATCATTTGTCTGTCTGCTTCGTGTCTAAACTTTATGTCTTTATTTCTGTATAAAATGTCATGTTTAAGCGCAGAGGCGTCAACTCTATTGACTGGTTCTTCACCCGGTTTGGGTTTATCGTTTTCGTCTAATCGCAGATCTAGCCTAGTACCTGGACCAGTGTAATTATGACCGGGAAGATGTTTTTCTCCAGGATATTTTACCCATGGAAATCCAGGAAGAGAACCCAATGATTTTTGTATATCTCCTGAACCAAAATAAGTTTTTGGAAGGTGAGCGACTATCATTGTTATCCTATAACTTTAAAACCTTTTCCTTTCCTTTCTTCTAATCTTCTGTTTCGCAGGCTCCCTTATTAGTTGTAATTCTTTCAACTCAGATTGTTTCACTGCGTCGCTTATACTCTTTCCCGCTTGCGCGATAGAGCCGACAGCTTTAACCTCGGATGAAATAAGTGATTTGTTGTTTGAAACAAAACTAGCTACTTTTTGGAATTATTGTTTTACCCAGAGAAAATATTGATGAAAAGATACCGTCTCCCGAATAATCTTCGAATTTGTGTTGTTCGTGTTTTAGAATTAAACTCATCCTATTTTTATTAACGAAGAAATTGTGGTCTGTTTTTTTTTCAAAACAAGACTTATCTTCCTTCTAGAAGTTTCTAGATTAAAACTATAAATAAATGATTCAAAAACGAGGCTATAAAAAAGAGGCTATTAAAATCCGGATGTTAAGCGATGTTAGTTTGTATAAGGGTATTTTTGATATGCTTTTTCGTTAAATATTCTGATCTAAAGAAGAAGAAGGGATTATATAGGATTCTGATTTAAGTTTTTTTTTGATAGTTGGGACAGAAGGATGTGTCTTTTTCGAATTTGTGTGTTTATTTTGCGCTGAATTTACGAGTTTTTTTTTTGTGTTATAACCTATATATTACTATTTACTTCCTTGTGTTGAATTTTATTCATATACTACAACTATGGATTCAATTTTAAAAAGATTAAACAAATTCATATTGTTTTGTTCGTGTTTTTAAAATGAGTTAATTTAATGATGAAATGTAGGGTGTATAGGTCTTTTTTGGGTGGGGTTGGTGGAATGAGGGTGTTTAGGACTT